TCCTCCTCTAGATTCCCTCTTTCTTTCCCTCTCTTTCTTTCTCTCTCTTTGTTTCTCTTTCCCTCTCGTTCTTTCTCTTTCTCTCTCTAAGATTTTACCTTCTTAGTCAGTATAAATTTTTCACCCCTCCTGCCTCCTATTTATAGGCAACCAGGGGTTCCCGGAATGGCCCGTACTGAATCCAGAACGGCCCGTTCCGGAGCCTTCAAATATACGTAAATTTTTTAACTGGAACGTCCCGTTCTGAAGTTCATTTTACACACATTGACCTTTATTGGAACGGCCCGTTTCTAACTAAACTTTTTAGGCACTTTTAGAATCTCGGAACGGTCCGTTTCCCTTTGGAACGTCCCGTTCTGGGAAAACAAAAATGGGTCTTTTTACATATTTGGAACGGCCCGTTCCACTTTTGGAACGGCCCGTTCTGCCACTTCAAAAGCAGTTTATTTCCATTGTTTGGAACGGCCCGTTCCACTTTTGGAACAGCCCGTTCCAGCCTAAAAAAATGAATTTTATATAAAATTTTTCATAAATAATTTTAAATTATTAAAAACCTTTACAATATTCTATAAAACCCTTTAACTAACTAAAATAACTATAAGAAAAATAATCTTCATAAATAGATAATAATTGATATTGTAATAGTAAAAATTCTGGGGTGTTACATCTGGAATAGTTGGTTTATGACAAAGTGAATCTTCAGAGATAATGGGATATAACCTAACTGTCATGCCCATTGGATCCAGTGCTCTTTTAAAATGGATGGAGGAAAGGAGAGTGCTATTGTTTCTTAAATTCTCAAGAATAAAATTAACATATTTGCACAATTTAATGTGTTCATTTCATGTTTGTAATTTTATGATTCTAATTGCAGGGCTCGCTATGAAGATGCTAAGTTCTTTTATGAGATGGACACTCGTAAAAGGTTTTCAGAATTCCGAAAGCAACTGAAAAATATTCTCTTTCATGTAAGTTGCAAATTAAACTTTTAGTTTAGCTAGGTACTTGCATGAAAAACACCTACCAACCAGAATATATATTTTAAAAAAGTATTTTGAATAGTTGAATGAATGGCCTTTTAGTTTACTAGTTTATTTTCTTCTAAATCAGGTTAAATAATTTCTCAAAATTTCATTATGGATGTTGAGAAGAGAATAAGGGAAAAGTTAGAGACTTATGGTACCTTGTTTATTTTGATAACATGGAATGGAACAGGAGAAGCTTGGAACCATGCTGGATAAGATGACTCGTGTTGAAAACATGGTTACTAAGCTAAGTTGCACCCTAGATATCAATGAAGATGTGCAACAAATTATTCAGGATGCTGCCTCCCTAGCTATGTCTGATCTTGCAACTGCAGTTGTCACTGAATTTACCTCACTTTCAGGAATTATGGGGCGTCACTATGCCCTTAGAGATGGATACTCAGAGCAGGTTGTTTAATTTTTGGTTGGCTATTATTTGGTGATCTAAAAAATCATTTGTTGCCCTTGCAATCTTTAATACTTCAATGCATCTATTTGGTTACTGGCTAGTCGCTACTTAATTTGTGTACATAATTTTTCTTTTCTTTGTCACTTTTTATCTTGCAGATTGCAGAGGCCTTGCATGAGATTACACTTCCTAGATTTTCTGGGGACATGCTTCCCGAAAGTGATGCTGGCATAGTTTTGGCAATTGCTGATAGGTTAAACTGATGCCAGAATATAAATATCTATCCTGTTTATTTTAGTGATAATTCAGATTTACAGTGATTGAGATTTGCAGGGAGAGTTGGTTAGATGTGTTCTCCTTCTAACCAATCTGATTACAATTTAAATTCAAAAATAAAAAAGATAAGATAGGAAAGATAAAATATTAAGTATAAAAAGATAAGATCGGTAAAAAAAAAAATCTATCTTAAAGGTTATAAAATTAATTTATTCTAAAATATACTGACAACTTTGACTATAGTAGTTTCCTTCATCATGATCCTGTAATTAGCAAAAGAATCACCTATGCTATATTGCTATTGCATCCCTCCCAGAGTCCCCTTTTGTCTAATTCCTTGGTTTTCTTATTTCTACTAAAGAACTTTCTTTCATTGCAATGTGAAATGAGTTTATAGTACAACTTGTTATAAAAGTAGCATATCTTCTGACTGATTTTGACAACACAGCTTACAAGATATGATATTTGTCTGCAGATTAGATAGCCTGGTTGGTTTATTTTCTGCTGGTTGTCAACCTAGTTCGACAAATGATCCATTTGGTCTGCGAAGAATCTCATATGGTCTTGTAAGTATAATTCTTTGTCTAATTTTCATTCATTTTCTTTTCTATTTTTCCCCTAGAAACATAATTACAAATTCTGGAAAGAATTGCTTGCACTCAAAGAGATGCACTATATACTCCAGGTGCAACTATTGGTGGAAAAGAATAAAAATCTAAATTTTAGGAAGGCCCTGGAACTAGCTGCAGATGTCCAGCCCATTAAAGTAGATCCTCATGTAATAGATGATGTAAGATGAAAGTCTTTCATAAATTTCAATGTCTGCTTGCTTCTGGTGATTGAAATCTGATGATCAGATTTTTCCCTTTAGGTACATCAATTTGTTACTCGAAGATTAGAGCAATTTTTGGTATGTATTATGTTCGTGATATTTAGTTCTTCTCTTGATTACAATTATACTTTTCATAGTCATCTTTTTAGTCAAAGAATTTTCTTTGTTTCTTTAAAGCCAACTTTTTAGCCAAATTAACTTTTAAAAACATAAGGTCAATGGCTTGAAGATATACTTCAACTATTTTACACATTGTTCTTCGTTAGCAAAATAGGGTATGGTTGGGAGGGGGGGTTAATGTTTGATTTTGATTATTTTTTGGGGAAAATCTTTTTTTTTCCAAAATATAGACCATATTTACCTCTTGAATTGTTTCTCATTTAGAAAACGAATGACTTTACACTTATACTAATTACCAGATTAAGAATGTGTATTTGGGTCTAACTCAACTTTACCAAATTGGCTTGTAAGGGCAGGGTTATTCCCACTTATGTTACAGATGAGTAATTGCTCTTGATACTGTGTTGAAGATAAAGATGAGAGAAAAATCAATATTATTGATGTCTTTTGCCACTTCGCATGATGTAAGCAACTTATTTTATATAGTTGCTTTAAGTGTACAAGACACACTACTTTCAATAGAAAGAGTACAATGTACGCTACACACTACAAGAGTACAGAGCAAGCCAAATAACATCCCAATAGAGATCTATGCTAAACTCCTTGATTGTGAGAGTGACTTGGACATATGTCACTGACTGTAATCAACAAAAAAAAGAGTAAAAACAATGCTCCAATATAATCTATCTTGATTTTATCTCTAGTTGATCTTAAAAAGTGGGTTGGAGCCTAACTCAACTCTACAAAACTGACTTGTAAAGTGAGAGTTGTGTTCTACTTATAAATACTTAATTTGTCTTATCTTTAGTCGATGTGGGACTTGAGTGAGTTTTTTTTCCAGTACACCTCACATCCAGTACTATTAGACTTGGTATGTGGATAAATGGTGGATGAACCCTTTTAATGATCTAGGATAAGTGAGACTTAGATTTTTCCTAATACACTCCCTTGTGTTTAGCATTATGGGACTTGGTATGTGGATTAATAGTGGGTGATCCTTTTAAAATGGGTCTAGATGGCTCTGATACCATCTTAAATAGTGGGTTAGGGTTTAACTTAACATTACAAAATCGTCTTGTAAGGTGAGAATTGTCACCTACTTGTATACTCATCAATTGTCTTATCTTGATGTAGAACTTAAATTTTTCCTAATAGTCAATAGCGGTTGTTGCGGCCGCAATCGCGGCGCGTCGGAGCGGAGCGGCTCTGTGCCACTTCAAAAAGTTTGTTGCGGAGCGCTTTGAAGGAGCGGTCGGAGCGGCCGCGAAAGCGGCAGAGCGTGGCGGCGCGATCGTGGGTGGGCGACGAAACTTCTCTTCTTTTTCCGGCGGATCTCCGTCGATCTGTCTTCTCCGACAGCGGCGCTGTCTTCTCCAACAGCGGCTCTGTCTTCTCTGACAGCAACTGTCTTCTCCGATGGTGGCTCTGTCTTCTCCAGCATCTACAGTCTTGTATTCTTCTAAGAGGGAAGCAGTGGCGATGGTTGCTTGAGTCTCATGATTAGAAGGTGGAAAAATAATTAGGGTTGGGCCAAATGGGCCAAATGGGCCAAGTTTTATTTTATCTTTTGATTTGATTAAGGGCCTTTTACTTCACTATTTTATTTAGAAAGTAACTTCTCTTTATTATTAATTCAGATAATATTTTAAGTAATAAAAAATTTAATATAAGACCTTAAATATTTTGTTTTCTTAATTTTTTTTATTTTGTTTAACTATTATAAGTTTTTATTATTAAAAATATTTAATGTATAAATTAAGTTATGTTTCTATTTTTATATGTATATTATTAATTATTTGTATTATTAATTATTTAATATATATATATATATATAAATTAAAAAAAAAAAATAGAATAATGGTATCCCACTATTTATTATTTGAGGGAGAGGAAGACTTTAATCTTGATGAGGAAGAAAATTAAACTATAATGTTTAATTTTTTACTTAGAGCTTTAACACTTTGTTTTGAAGACATTTTATATTATGTATTGTTTGAGTACTATGAACTTTTAATTATTAAAAATGTTTAATGCATGAATTTAGAGTTATTTTTTGTTTTTTTAGCTT